AGAAAGAAAGAAAGAAAGAAAGAAAGAAAGAAAGAAAGAAAGAAAGATGTATTATTTGTGAAGTGACATGGTAAGGGCATACTAACATCTCAAATGCTTTTTAGTAATGAGCTTTTAAAAATGTAATATATACCTCTAGCGGTTCAATGGTGTTATGGGAAATCGTTAAATATGTTTTCAAGAGGATATTTGAAGGATATCTATTGTCACCAGACATGAAGAATTTCATAGTAAACCCATTGTTTAGAAAAGCTGTCATAGAAAAAGAACAAGAAAACACACATCATGAGATAATTAGCTTTTTGAAATGGAAAAAGATATTTTTGCTCTTTTTCTTGAAAAACAGTCTCATGGATTTATTATACTATAAATTCTTCTTTATTGAGATGGAACGTTACATAATCTTGCTGCCACAAATATATATACACATGCAAATGCCCACACATTCAATACATACATACATGTATACATACAACACACACACACACACACATATTGCTGACAACTAAACATGCTTCCTTATCAAGTCCATCTTGACATCTGTATTTCATGAGTCAAAAGAAGTTGGGGGAAAGGTTTGGAATTTTATTTGTTTGGCTAACTGAATAGGCTTAGTCGTCCTTTAACTACCAAACCAAGAATACTATTGTCATTGAGGAGCTTAAGCTAACATACCTGCCTTATGCCCTAGGATTCTAAGAAATTATGTTGATGCAAGCTTTTTGTCTGTACTATAAACTACCTATTTATTAGATCTATAGTAATTTGCTTGGTTGACAAGCAAAATTGGGCTCATTATGTGAACTGCATTGCAAAATAAAGTTTAGAATACCACTCTCAGATCTGGAGTATAAAGATTCAGATGCTGCTGTGATATGATAGCAAAGAGTGAATTTTTTATATCTCCCTATTGCTGTCCCACAGTCCTAATCTTTATAATCCAGTTTTGCAGCCCTAGTTCTGTCTTAAGAGAGCTTGCACAGTTCAGAACAATTTTTATGGCTCAGAGCAATAGAATCATTTGTTCATTTTTATATCACTGTTGCACAACCTGTAATTTCTCACTTAATGTTTTGTATGAAATAAGGCAAGGTTCAATTAAAGGAGATGCCTGAAGCATGGAACCCTGAACCTTGCAAAGTTAGTGCTTGGAAAAACCAGAAAGCAGGAAAGGGAAGCATTTTTAAAAACATCCTCAGGCATTGTAAACTAGGGAAACATTCTCAGTTTTACTAGTCACTACAATGTAAATCATTGTAACAGTCCAAGCAGAGGTGGTATTCAGCCAGTTCTGACAGGTTCTGGAGAACCGGTAGCGGAAATTTTGAGTAGTTCAGAGAACCGGTAAATACCACCTCTTGTTGGCCCCGCCTCCATTTATTCACTGCCTCCCAAATCCCAGCTGATCGGAGTCCCAGATGATCAGTTGGGTCTTCTTTTGTTGCCCTGCACTGGAGAACGGAATTGGAAAGCAGGTTAGTGGGGTGAGGAGGGAATGGGGATTTTATAGTATTCTTCCCCTGGAGTGGGGTGAAAATGGAGATTTTGCAGTATCCTTCCCCTGCCACACCCACCAAGCCACACCATGCCCACCAAGCCATGCCCACAGAACAGGTAGTAAAAAATTTTGAAGACTACCACTGAGTCCAAGTCAATGATTTGGTCTGATTCTACAACTTATACATGAATAACCCCTCTTATCCTTTTGAGTTTATAAAATGTAAGACATAGGACACAGTACAGAATTTGAAAATTAGAACTACTGGGTAGGAAACTAAATAAACACAATAAGGTGATTCCTTTTCACTTGGAACATAGTGGAGCAGATGTCCAAATATTGCGACTCATCCCATAAAGAAGGATGGAGAAAGAAAGAAATAATAGTTACTCACTGTTGAAAAAGGTGAAAAACAGAGCCTTGTTGAAAGGGGAGCTCAGTCCATCAAACCTAGGGCTCAGAATTCTCAGGGCCATAGAGCAATAAGAAGCCCTAAATGAAAAAAAGAGGATATTGTTGACATTAGTTTCTATTAACTATTAACTGGGGCAACATCTACAGACTGACTCCAGAATAGGCAGCACTAGACAAGGGAATTCAGCTCACATCCTGTATCCTCTGAGAAGTTGTGTATAGGATTACAATTTAAGAAGCTTGCAGCCTTCTACAGGTTTAACAAACTTCCTAATCCGTGTATGATGGGAGTTCTTGTTGTTGGGGATGTATTGCTTGGAACCCTGACAGATATAGCATTTCTGTACCTAATATAACACATAGTCTGAACGTCTCTCTACTTACAGGTTGTAGTAGGCAAAGTCCCTGATCTTTGTTATAGCCTTCATGTGAGAGTACACAAAACTGGCAATATGGAGATTCTCCTCATACAGCATTGCATTGGCCATGGCTATTACTACAGGTTGAGGAGGGACACTGTCTAGGAGGGCAATGCAAGCCATTATTCGAACGGCCTCACAACGTGAAACATCCATAAAGATCTGAAGGAGAAAACCTTGAACCTAGAGGAAGCAAAGGAAGAAACAAATGAATGTGGAGCTCAGCTAATAAACATGAAAACAATCAGGGGAAATATTGATAATGGTTTTTGTCAGGATTTGCTTTCTGTGACTTATAAGATAGCCAAATAACCCCAAATAAGGGCTCCTAAGATTGCATTGTGGCTAGGCCTTTGAGTGGACCATTTTCTTTGGCATGCAATGACTAGCTACTTTCTCTTTTTTTCCCCCTAGGTAGGGATCCCATTTAAGCCTCCACCAGTTCCAAAAATTGCTGTAAAGATTATTCAGCAATGTGATTTCAGGGATCACTTAATAGGAACTTTTAGCTGGGTTACAAAGTTTTGCAGTTACCTGAAAGCAAGACCATTATACATATATACATATACATATACATATACAATACGCACACACACACACACAGACACACAAAGTTTTTACCTACTCTAACAAAGGCATGTCTTCTGCCACTTACCTTTGTAGGATCTTGCTTGCCGATTTGCGCTAGGGTCTGAATTGCAATGACCTGGATGTATTCAGGATATTTAGCAGTCTCACACAGGACTTTTATATGTTTCTGGCTGCTGATCTGACCGGCATTGCCAATAGCTTTCATGCCTAATACCATTTTGTTTTCTTCTTTATCCCGAACTGCCTCAGTTAGGATGTTGTGGAGAGGCTATAAAGAATTAACAAACAAACAAACAAACAGGACGTGGGTCTGTGCACTCGTATGCATATATTTTCAACTCTGTATCCAAATACTCTGTACTGCTTTCTGCCAAAAAAACTAATGTTCTTTTGTTTCAATATTATCTCTCTATATAAAATCAAGATTTAGATCTTGATATCCATCTAGATCTATAAATAAAATTAGCCATATACCTCAAGCAATTTAGGATGACAAGTTCGAGAAGTGGAACATTGCCTGTTCACCATAGTCCCGTATGCCAGGTAGGTTGCTTTTCCAAGGAAAGATGTTTTGTCAGTGATTTTGGAAAGTAATTCCTGTTGGGAAGAAAACAAAATTGTTCTTAGAATTTAGGAAAACACTCTCAATTGAGGGTCACAAAGCATCCTATGTAGATTTTTAAAACACGTTAGTGTGCCATTCAACAACAATGTAACATATACTCACTGCTGTCACTTTAGCAGTTTCCTCCACTTTTGTAATATCTGGGTTAGCAAAATGGAAGGTTGTGGGCAAAAGCCAAATCAGGTCAGAATAAGCCAATTCTCCACTGACTGCCTTGTCCTTGATGAACTTCACTGTGATCAAATTACCCGCGTGCACACATGAAATCAATAGGTTTTTTCTGCAATGAATAGAAGGACACATTCTTAAAAATATCATGAATCCTCCACTAATGAAGAAACGTTTTCTGGCTGATTTTTCCGTGAATCTTGATAATTCCTCTGGAAAAACAGCATTAGGGGTTTCAGGAGATTAAGGTAATAGCTAGCGTGCAATATCCAAGTTAGCTAACATACCTAGCAACAGGGATTCTTGAAACCTTATTGTAGAGAGTTGTCAGATCGTTGTATGACATGCGTTGTACAAGTCGGAGCAATAATATAGCCTTGGTGGAAAACATTTTATCCCGCATTTGCCAGTGCACTGAGTCTTGCAAGAGTTGCTCAGCCTGTCAAGGAAAAATCAAGAACAGCATGAGCATGTACTCATTCCAACTGCCAAGATCATGGTGTTTTCTGTTTGGTTTTGAAAGGGTTAAATTATTCAATATTTCATTTTTCTACCTGTTGTACAGGATCTCTGTTGTAATTCTCCATCACGGGCAAAAGCAGACTTTTGGGAATGTCATAACGAATGTTGGTTAGTTCAAGCTCTCCTTGTTGTTGTTGTTGTTGTTGTTGTTGTTGCTGCTGCTGCTGCTGCTGCTGCTGACCTTGGTCAGGTCTCACTTCTCTCAAGTTCAACAATTGGCTGGAAGAAAACAAAACACACACACAAACACACACTCAGAGATGACTAAATCATCAGAAAGGAGGACTCCCCCATTTGAAACACTGCAGGATTGACTCTAGAAAGTCAGAAAAAGGTAACTAGAGATAAGAGATGGTGCAACCAAAGCCAATAGAAATGCACTGCTATTCCAAAACGTTGAATAAAAGAAACACATTTGAGCTATGTCTATTTGCTAATTTTCTAAAAAGGGTTTAATCTGAATTCCCAACATTGCATTGTTCATCCCTAAATGTAAGACTAGTGCATTCGATTCCATAGGAAATTATGGCTTTTATGAGGTTTTTCTGCAAATCAGATCAATTGCCAGGTTATGATAAGGACTATATTATATTATTATGAGCCATGGCGGTGCAGTGGTTGGAATGCAATACCGCAGGCTACTTCTGCTGACTGATGATTGCCGGCAGTTCAGCAGTTCAAGTCTCACCAGGCTCAAGATTGACTCAGCCTTCCATCCTTCCGAGGTGGGTAAAATGAGGGCCCAGTTTGTTGGGGGCAATATGCTGACTCCACTTAGAGAGGGCTGTTAAGCACTGTGAAGTGGCATATAACTCTAAGTGCTATTGCTATTATCACACCTACGATATTTTTGCCATTGTCAATTAAACAAATACTGTGCAAAATCCTTAAGAGTCAGTGTTATCTTCCACAAATTTAAGGCCATAAAAATGCAGTTCCTCTTTTTTTGTTCTGAAAATGAAAAGTGGTGTTGGCAAAGATATATTTGCTGAATTGATTTCTGTTTCCAGGCAGCCCTGGATCTGCTGGTAGATTACTAGAGTTTAGAACAGAACAAAGAAGCACAGATCTATTGAAGTTACATTCTAATGTTGCCATAGTTCAGAAATGCCTTTCAGTGCATAGATAAGGTAGACTAAAAAGCAAAGGAGACTAAACATAGCGCAAAATGTTTGTTTGTTTGTTTTGATATTGCTACTTACTGAGCTTTCATATATCCAGTAGCATCCTCTCCACCTATAGGGAACTCTAATACTTGTTCAGACTTGACTTGAATGATCAGATCACCTTTGTTGTCACGCTTCACTTTGGTGACAAAGGCAGATGTGCCTTGAACAAATCTTTCTCTCTAAATAACAAAAGGAGACATATTTCACAAGGAGAAATACAATATAATCTTACAAATAGTGTACTATTTGTAAGCCGTGGCTAGCAGCTCTTCCCCCCACCCCCCACCCCCATTTTTAAAAATTATATAAATACAAAAGTCCTGGTCCAGATCAGAACAGTAACCTAAGAAATGGGGGACTCCTCTCCCTTCGTGTCCCAGTTCAAAATCTCATATTTGTAGTTTGCAAAAGGAAAGCCCTCCATTAAAGCTAAGAGACCCACACCAACATGTGAGAAAATAGATGTAGAGCACTCTTACTTGGAAGCAGTTGGGTTGCTGGAAGAGATGGAAGAAGGGGATTCCAACATTCAGCATAACTTTTTGCTTGCAGTTGTTCAGGTCCCTGACTCTGTTAAACAGGTAGATGTTGTTCTTTTTCTCCTCGTAGAGAACGTACCGGGTGTTGCACTCGCCTTCAAGCCCATCCTGCCAATATTGAGAAACTCAGTTTGTACAAGAACATGGAAACTCACATTCCCAATGAGAGTCAAAGGGAGAGATCTGCAGAAGGTTTAAATAAAATTGGGTGCATTTAAAATGTCTACAGCTTAGGGACATCATTTCTCACCCCCATTATCTGTTCCTTTACATTCTGTTCATTTACTAACGTTTTTCAAATCCTAGTGGGAAATAGACTTATCAGTTGTTCAGGAACATCCAAAGAAGTTCCTGGACATGAATAGCCACCTATTTGAGGGAGAATAGCAATTGATACCTAAACAGATTGGTTCAAATCTGGCTATCTTGGTGTCTCTATTTCCTTGTCAGGAAAAAAAAAATAAAGGTAAGCAAAGTAGCAAATTAAAAAGAGTAATCCAATATCCTTTGAAATCACATTGCTCAAGGAGGTAGGAGACACTTGATTCTTCATATGTTAATGGATTCCAAATGCTATCAGCTTTAGCCAACATGGCCACAGATGTTGTTTTGCAACATCTGGAAGGTTCCCGGATTTTTTTTTTAGCTTAATGTAAATTATGAAGAAAGGAGGTAGTCTACTGCAGTAAAATAAAGCTTGAAAAAATGAAAAAAAATATTTTAAAAAAGCCTAACCTCCAGTACTTCATACTCTTTCTGGTACCGTGGTGTGAGAATGAGCAGGTTCAAGAAGCCTCTCAAAATATTCCTGCAAAATGGATCTGCATTCTTTGGCATACGGATGGAGCCATATCTTCCAGTGTAGGTGAAATGGACTCTATACTTCTGGCATTCAAGCATCTGTTTATATTCCCTTCGTGGTTCTGACAAGGTACTTCTCGGGTGGAATCCAACAGCATCTCGTACTCTCATATTCCTTAACTAAGAACAAAATGGAGGGCAGAAAGTAAGAAAGGAAGCAATTGTTCAGTCTTGTGGATGTCAGTAGGAGAGATTAAAAATCATTAATTTGGAAGGGATTGTGCTTATTCCCCATGACAGAATGTGTTTTAAATTCAAACAGGAAGCAAGTAAAAAATGCACTAATATTATTTTCCTGAACTGCTATTCCCCCTACTTAAAAAAAAAAAAAGACGATTTCTGCACTAGCCAATCATAGCAACATTCAACAATAAAAAGCCTGTTCCCATTAATGATTAATTGGCATAGTGATGTAAACCATGAGACTCTTATCCAGTCTACAAATGACCTTATCCCTACTGTTCTGACAATGCCATGGGAGGATACTGATGTGCTGTCCAGTACTTCCTCCAGTTGACCAATAAGGGAGTATTAATTGTCCATCAATCAGCATCCCACCGCTGTCGTGATTTCACATGGCATTTGTTTTTGCAGGGTGGAAATGAAAATTATCATTCACTGGATGGAAGAGCTGCAATGTCACCTAAATTGGGGATGGGCTTCAAAAATTTTAGCAAAGGGTTCTCTGCCTGGTTGCTGGGTGGGTGTCACCATAGTGGGCCTAGTTAGCCTCCATGGCGGGGGCGGGGGTTTGTTTTTGCCCTCCCTGGGCTCTGGAGGCTTTCCTCGAGCCTCCGGGAGGGTGAAAATGGCCTGCCCGGGCTCTGGAGGCTCTCTGGAAGCCAGAAACAGGCCCATTTCCGGCCTTCCGGAACTTCTGGGAGACCCTTTTTCACCGTCCCCAAGCCTCTGTGAGCACCCTGCACTTACCTACATCCAAAAAGGGCCATGTGGGGACTCCTGGAAGGGGTGGGGTGGGGTGGGTGGGGCCAGCCAGGAATGGGATTTGGAGGTTTTCAGAACTGCACAGAATCTTAGCTAGGGGCTGTCCCAAACCCCTGCGAACCCCCAGCAGCCCACCCCTGCCTAAATCTATTTTCCAAGGATTGGTAAAGTTGCGTCACATCCTCATGTCGTCTCTATCCCAACGGGAAGAAAAGGAGGAGACAAAACATATAACAATTCCATGCAATAAGAAACTGCTTGCTCCCTAGCTTCAGCTTTAGTATTGCAAAGTTATTTTGCAATATTTCCCACGGCATAAAGACCCAGGGGATCAACACTCAGAGAAGTAATGCATGGTCTATCCCAGTTCAAAAACTATTTGAAACACCTTCACTAATTACATTTTAGTTTGTTGAACACTAATTTAATATTCCATTATGCTTCAATCTTAAAATCACAGTTGTTCTTGTCAGGAGTATAATGCACTTATGAATGAATAGTTTAGGATTGCTTAACTTTTCTTAACTGCAGGCAAATAAAGTATTGAAGCTTAAAATGATCATTTTTCCCTTGGCCTATTGTACAGAAAATGTTAGGTCTGAGAATGAATGTACATTACTGTACAACATAGAGTAAAACAATCCTCTCTCTGTGGTCTCTGTTTTATTTGCTTTCTAGGGAGTTTTCTTCTCCTCTCCAACATGAAGCCTACTTTACCACTGAGAAGACAAAACAAAACTGGCAATCTCTTTGCATTTTGTGATCCAAAGCTTAGGGTTTTTTTCCCCCATCAATCTGTGGTCCATATATGTGACTATTTCTTGAATGAATGTACAGTATAGTTTCCCATCAATTGAATGGGCTTGAGAATTACTGAAAGGAATTTTATCCTCGGGGAGAAAACTTACTTGAAGCACATGCTCTGTTTGACTTGTTGTGATTATTGCTTCAGTTTCCATCCTTAGAAGACTCTTTCCATAATCTTTGTTTTGAACTCCAGTTTGAAGCACGGTGGTGTAATTGTATATCAATATTTGTCCGGCAGGAAGTTCTGGTTCTACAAACAGAGTTGTCTTCAGTAAAGAGGACATTTATACTAGACTACAGGTTTTCACTGAGTAAACTCCATGATTATTAACCTGACGCTTTAATGGGACAATGGTAGGTAGATTTTCATTAAAGTCTTACTATTTATACATGCTGATTTTGAGTCTCTTTATGGTTTGCTGTGCAAATCACAAAAGGAAACAAAAAGAATGTATTCCATTTGAACAGATTGCTGTTGCTTTTGTGTATTGAATAATAATGTATCTGTATTTTTTTAAAAAGAACTCAAAAATAGAGATCAATATTATGTAATTTTGACCACTAAGCAAGATTTAAACAAAGAATTTCTTTTTTACAACTCATGTGTTTTATTCAACTCAACTAATGCTCTTTCCTTCACCCAGCAGTAATAGCCCAAATGTCATTTTAATTTGCTGATTTAAATACTGTACAAATACAAATATGAATATACTTACTGATGTCAACATTCTCGGTTCCTGGAAGAAAAAAATGAATAAATAGTTGAGTACAGTTGTAGAATAAAACAATAGAATATATATTTTCTTATTTAAAATATCCAAATGAGAATTGCAACATTGTGTTTTATTATATGATCATCTTCTAACATAGGAATACTGATGAGTTGTCTTGTTATAGTCATTAGACTTACCCGTTTCAGGATTCTGGGTTTCTGTGGGGCAGAAATGCAATATTTAGTGAATATGTTAATTTTCTGAACTACTTTTATTGTAAAAAATATACAAATGGGAATTATAACATAGTTATACTGCTCTATTCAAGATTCCAGTCACAAGGGACCCCTCTTTCAGGATATTTTCCTTCCACTGTTTTCAAGTGTTTTGCATCCAAATGTCAAGTTGCCTGACTATGTCTTGTTTTTCCGTCTTCTACACAGGTTGTGTGGTGTTTTTCCTTTGGTGGGAATGAGGCATTCTGCAAATCATGGCTTTCCTTTGACACCATCCTTATCATGTCTAATGCTCTACACAGTCTTTGTCGGATCTCACCACTGTTAGTTTTTAAGAGAGATTACACAAACCAGATTCTGGATGGTATATTTATATTTGTACCAGCAAAACATTTTGGTAGTAAAGTTGTCAAGTGTGGGAAATCAGAAGTCCAGGCAGTTCAAATACATATGTTGATTTATTGCAAGCTTAAGCTCTCTACAAGAATCTGAGCTACTAACTGTCAAAGCATATTAATAATAGATAAGAGTCAATGGAATTCAAGGTGGGTTGGACTTAGATCTCTTGTGAGCATGAAGGGATTCGAGACTCATGATACATTTTACCCCTCTCTCAGTCTCAGCCTGACTGTCTCCTACAAATGTTAATCCATTCCTTATGTACTATAAATCATTAGCCAGACTCATTACTAAATTAACTAAAGTACTTGAAAACCAGGAAGGCCATTTTAAATTTCCAGGGTTCACATTTAAGAGTATATGTAGGTATTTTTTAATCTCCTTCTGTTTTGATATATCATTGTTTCCTTTAAATTGCGAACTGTTGCATACTAAATCACGTCTGTTTCAGATGTTTCCTTCCTTTAGGAAGCAAAAAAGTAATTATATAGAGCTTTGACTTTAACTGTAATAGTCCTTAAATGAGTATCAATTGATTAATTGTTTAATAGTTGATTTTGTTTAATGTCATTTCAACAAGAGGTTAGGTTTGTTGTAATTTTTCAGCTTACTTGTCTGGGATTTCTGGTTCCCTGGTAGAAAGAAAATGAACATGATATAATGTTAGTTTTAACAGTACAACATACGATTTATATGTAGAATATATACACAAAAATATCAAATATCCTATTGTATGCTGGTTTATAACAAAAAGTCATTAATCCCAGCAAAGATCTCCAAGGCTAAAAAGTTTCCACAAAGACTACTAAAAGGTACCATTTACATTTATTGTTTTTAACAAATACATCATAATCAGACTGGCATGCTTTAATTGTATAATTTGCTAAATAATTATATTGAATTATAAAATAAGCAGAAGTACTTTTTTTAATTAGCAGAATTGCAAATAAAGAGCACACTTCCTCCCCAAGATGGCTGCTGACTGGTAGGAAACATTTTCTCTCCTGCTGACAATCTGCTGATTTTGCTGCCAAAACTGATTCTTTTATCTTTAAAAGTTAATTGGCTGGTTGAATGCTGATTTATTCAACCCACTGCTGGATTTTATCTGTTCTTTTTGCTTTTTTCTTCTGATGTATCTGGCTGTTTTCATTAACTCCTGCTTTTCCATAAGGAAAATCACAGGGTATTCCCGGATAGTGAAAGTGCTTTTACTTGATTTACACTTTTATTGGATATTCATACAGGGATTTTTTTATTGTATCAATTTGCAAAAAGTTTAGTGCTTATTTTTCTCATTCTTTCTTTTAATTTTGGATTGAAATATCTAGAAGATATCTTCCCTGTTCCTTAGATTATTGTCTTATTCTGCTTTGAAGAACTCTCTTATTTACTTTATTGGGGAACAACATATCAGATTATAGAAAAGGGAATGAGGCTGATACTTGAGAAAAGACTCTCTGATAACATGCCATTCCTAGCTGAAAGCTTTTTTAAAAAGTTGGATGAAGTTATAAAGGCCTTGGAAAACAGTCAAAGTCAGGCAATCGTAAATAAATTAAATTCACAAAAGGAATGTGATTTGAAAGTAGTAGATTCACTAGAAAGAAATATGGACCCAGACTTAGAATTAACTGATGAATTAACATATCCCTATTGTGGCTTTTCTCCGCCTGCTTCCTGGCGACGACAGGGTCTGAACTCAGAGCCCTGGGCCTCTCATGGTAAATAAATAAACACACGGCACACAGTGTTTACTCAGAATGAAAGACCCTTTAATAATGGTGGGTACTCCTTTTATAGGCTACATGCATACGTCATAGCAGGACAAAGAACTTTCTACATAATTATGCTAATGCAAACCTATGCCATAGCTGATATCTTATGCTCCTACTTCTTAGCTCCTCCCCAGGTACTCTTATCTCCATAACTTTCGTTTCTCCCATATTACTCTCATTTCTCCGTTTCTCTGGCTAGTACTTTTCCACACGGCACCTTATCACATGGCTACATTCCATTGTCCATCCATCACTCTTACAAGGTTGCCACGCTTACCGTACCAGTCTGTAACAGTACATTACAACACCCTAATCGGAGTATGATGCCTTTCTATCATTCCCCTAAGTTAAAATTTAAAATAACACCTAAATCCCAATCAGATTCTGCTTAGTACATTCTACTATTTCAAAAACCAATACTACAATAATAAATCCATAACAATCAACACATCAATCCATTAAACTCTATATTCAAACTAATATTTTCATTCCCTTTAGTATTTTATTAAAACTTATTATCATTCATTATTAAACCTTTTAAAGTTATACCTTGATATTTTAGCCTTTTATTAGATCTTAAAAAGTTCTGGTTATCTACTTATAATACAAATACCACTATTACAATACTCATGTGTACTTTGCAGAATCCCCCCCTTTAAAAAAAAATAAAAACCCATATATTACCCATTATCCCTGAAAAAAATTTCTTTATCTCCATCTTGTCTTATATCTTTGAAACTTTTTTCCCCCTTTTCCCTTTCCTTCTTAGCCCGCCTAAACTTTTTACCCCCTCCTCTCAAAACCTCTGTCTTCTTAATTTCCCCTTTCTGCATTCCTCTTTCCTTTTGCTTTCTAGCATTCTGTTGTTTTTGCATCTTCTTTTTCTCTTTTATAAATATTTTTTTATTTCTTAAGTCCTTCCTTTTCGCTCCTCTCTTTCTACTTTCTTTCTTAGTCACGCCATTTAGTTCATTCAAAATGGCTTCTTCTTCCTCGATTTCTTCAAGGTGTTGTTTAATTTGCTGACACATAGCAAGCGCCTTATCTAGGAAACAAAGGGCTTCTCCCATAACATCTTTGCCTTCTTTTTTTGTTTTTAGATATTGTTTTTTTAGTTCATCAAGAGGTAGAGCCATTTTAAAGTTTCTTCTTCTCTTTCTGTATCCTATTCTTAAACCAATCAGTTATTTCAAGGCTTAAAACAGTTCCCAAACGTCCCAAAGTCCCACAGTCATCAAACAGTCCAGGCAGAGTAAAAGCTTCTTCTTTTTACAGTTTCTCTTCTAGGGGTGAAGTCAAATTAGGGAAAGAAAATTCTCTTTATCTTCAAGGCATCTCCTCCAACAAAGTCTTAGAGTAAAAATTGATTTTCGCAAGCCTCTCCCTTCCCACGTATAACAAAGGAGTTTAGGTTTTACCTTCTACCAAAAGGCTGGTTTCCCTTTTCCATTTGTTAATTCCATAAGGGAGGGAGAGTAACTTCCCCTGTTTGTCACTATTCTTTGCAGCTGAAAACATCAATCAGGAACAATAGCTTCCAAGTCATTACTTTCCCAGGTGTTAAATATATCCTTAAGGTCCCAGTTCAACCAAGAAAAAACTTTCTTTTTTTAAAAAAAAGAAAAACTCCTTCTCCCTCCTGCGCATTCTTTATTATCCAATTGCCGGCTTCTTTATGGTGGTCATAAAAGACCACCGTTGGAACCGTCTTGAGAAAAGGGGGTTATTGCCGGCTGGGGGGGGAGTTTTGCGATGCCCCTCACCCCTGTCCGGATCCCCCCTCTCTTCAGCTGCCCCAAAGGGCAGCCTTAGCCTCCAAATCCATCAGGATCGGAGGCACCAAGGCGGCTAGCACAGCAGGAATCACAGAGAAAGCGAATCACAGCTGTTAGCAAAGCCGACAACCGGAAGTCGAAATAATATAAGATATATTAATGTTGTACTTACGGGCTGGGAATTTCTCAGCAGCTGAGGAAAGAAATTCAAGAGATTACAATATGAACATAGTAGGATGGAGTTATCTTTAAATTATAAAATATATTTTGACTAAAATCATGCAAAATTTTACAATGGAGTCATGGTAAAAAGAAAGCCATACTTACCCACAATGGCCACTACAAGAAGTAGGACGATTCCCTTCATGGTGAAGGTGAATGGCAACTCTCACCAATCTTGGGTATTTTATAGAGAGATGAGAAGCATCATGTGATCTGGGTCAACCAGGATTTTGCTGATTGCACATTTTTTAATCAGTTTCAGCAACTTTTTATTTTTTGGACTACTGAACTGATCCTACTTTTAATCCTGGAAAGAAAAGAGTCCTGTTTTTCTTCTCTCTTTCTACAAATACCTCCATATTTCTTAAATTCATCATATATATATATATATATATTGCTACACTATTTTTGAAGGTTGTCAAATATGTCATAAAATATGTTTTAAGGGATTTTATTTCCAATTTTTACTTCTGTCTGATGGCCATTTGGGCACTGTTTCAGGTGATGAAAACCTTGCCCTGGTTATGTTGACCTTTTTGCATTTATGAGGCAAATATTTACTTAACAAATCATCATGGGGAAAAGACACTGGTATCTTGCGTAACATCTGCAAGATTAGTTGATGTATGAGGGTTTTTTTTCTTGTACAAGGCAGTGCAATCCTATATGCCTTTTCTCTGAAGTATCAGTAAGTCCCATGTATCTAGTGCCAGGATTACAACTATAGAGAAATCTTATACAGGTAGTCCTCAACTTATGGCAACAACTGAGCCCAACATTTCTGTTGCTAAGTGAGACAGTTATTAAGTGAGTTTAGCTCCATTTTATAACCTTTCTTGCCACGTTTGTGAAGTGAATCACTGCAGTTGTTAAGTTAGTAATCCAGTTGTAGAGTGAATCTTGGCTTCCTCATTGACTTTGCTTGTCAGAAAGTCACAAAAAGTAATCCCATGACCCTGGGATACTGTGACCATCAAAAATATGAAGCAGTTGCCTAGAGTCCAAACTTTTAATCACGTGACCATTGGGGATGCTGCAATGGCCATAAGTGTGAAGGACGGCCATAAGTCACTTTTCCAGGGCTGTTGTAACTTTGAATGGACACTAAAAAAATGGTTGTAAGTCGAGGACTACCTTTGAAGGGGAACATAGTGAAACAATTGATTCCCTCAAGTTAGCAGGATTTTTATTGGCTGACTTTCACAAAAGCAGTGGGAAACATTTTGTCAGTTCTAATGTATCTAAGGATGTATTCAGAATAGAAGAGGCAGTGGGGCCATGTGTCCTATACCCAAGCAGAGGTGGTATTCAGCAGGTTCTGACCAGTTTTGGAGAATCGGTAGCAGAAATTTTGAGTAGTTCAGAGAACTGGCAAATACCACTTCTGACTGGCCCCGCTCCCATCTTTTCTCTGCCTCCTGAGTCCCAGCTGATTGGCTGGGTCTTTTATTGCCCTGCCCAGGAGAACGGAGCTGGAAAGCAGGTTAGTGGGGTGGGGAGGGAATGGGGATTTTGCAGTAACCTTCCCCTGCCATGCCCACCAAGCTACGCCCATAGAACCGGTAGTAAAAAAAAATTGAATCCCACCACTGCACCCCAAGACTGCCTATCCCCAAAGGCTTCATTTTGGAAATCTCTGTGAGAACTACCCAGAGAAATACCAGCCGCAGTAACATTTTTCAGCTGCAATTGCACTGCTAGGATAAATCAAATCTATGCTTTTACATGCTGGACCTCACTGTTGATAATAAATATCATTTTTCTTTTATGAGTCCAATATCTGTAAAACATCTGTTCATGTGTGTGCTGTCAGCTTGTCACTTAAAGAACTGTAGCCACATGGCACCATACTGACACCCGTTTAGGCCTACTTTCTGCGCCTATTTTTTTTTAAAGTCATTTGCTTGTCTGTAACTGGAAGACAGTCATTTGTATTTGCTCAATGTTTTGAGCTAATACATAATATAATTACATTTTAAGAGAGATACAACCAACAGTGGTATGGTAATGTTATCATGATGGGGATTTCCCAGTTCTAAACTCTAAAGTAATTCATTGCATCTACCCTATTAATTGCATCTAACATGTAAAAATCACAAAACAGATCCTCACAACACTTTTGTATTGATTAATGTTAATGCCTAGATGTCTTGATCATATGTTAATACCATCAAAATATTGGCAACTTTTGAAATTATTTGAATTGTGGCTTTTTTTAAATATGGTTCCAAGTTTCATAATCCATCTATTTATATGAATTAGTCGGAATTACTGTTATGCTCAGTAACAGAATTTGGTTTACATGCACAAATGCCCAAAAGCTGTGTAATAGACTTGTTGAAGTATAAAATTGTTCTTCATCAAACTAAAATAAACTATCAAATTAAAAACTCAGCCAACCTTTAAAAAAAAAAACAAGAACAACATTGGGAGCCTGGAAATATTTAGCACTGAAAAAGAGAAATATGAGATCTTAAATTAGTAATAAAGAGAGAAAATGAGATCAAGATATACAGATATTCTGGAAGGTTGTCATTGTTATCCTTCATTTGCTAACTTTCAGGCAAGTAGGGAAAACCAGGGTCAAGAGTTGTTATATTGGGCTCTTCCTCTTCTTTTTCAATATTACATGTCACTGAGAAAGGGTGAAAGGAAGGGAGAGGTGGCTGAAGAAATCAGTCAGATAACTAAGGGATCCAAAAGATTGGAAAGAAAGGAACATGTAGGAGATGATTAGGCTGAGTCCATGGGAGACATCATGACTCCCTTCATGCCCTCAAGAGATCTAGGTCCAGCCCCCCTTGAATTCCTTCTAGTCTTATCTCCCGCTAATTTCCCTTGTTTGCTAATAGTTCAGATTCTTTTTTCTTTATTCTTTATAAAGTTTTATTAATTTTCTACTATTACATTTAATTAATGCTTAATAAACATCATGTTGTCTGGGTTGTTTGGTTTGCTTAACAATACAAATTATATTCCTAATCTTTACCCCTTTTTTCTAGCCATTGATAAAATAAATTCCATGCTTGATAGTATTCTGCATCTTCTTTCTGTTTAATCTTCAATGTAAATCTGTCCATTTCTGCCGGCGGGAAAGGACTCATTACTGATGATGCATTTGACCCCTCCATCAGGTTCAGCCTAGTCATCTCTTATAGGGCAATGGGAAAAAAAACATGAAAAGTGTTGAAATTATGGGTCTGCGATAGGATTTAAATCAAATCAAACCTGAGATCCAGAAACCTTGAATATATCCCCCCAGATTGTCACCTTTAATATATGATAAAGGAAAAACATTAAATAGATATTATTTAATATGTTTAATTTAATTTTTTTCACATTTTGTTGAAATCTTGGCAACCATTCTGAAGAACACCCAGAAAGCATATATAAAGATCTGGGAAGGATAAATTAAGTATTCATAAGACTAAAAAATAAAATATATGAATTCACAAAATGTTTTTGCAAATTATTTTTCCACTCTGGCAACACTACTTGCAAGGGTTACATAGCCCTGTGATATAGGTCACAATGGCCAAAGAATTTGTTTGAACATGAACATAGCTGCAATGATCAGCAAATACTCTAGCTTCCAAGGTAAATGCCTGGTTAAAATGGGAACAACTGTGAACTAGAAATTTCCAGAAGGCTGGGGTTCAGGCTGACCCGCAAACCAATAAGAACCTTTTGTTCTCCTAAAAAACAAGTCACCTTTAGGAATGGGAAACTCCGCTTTATTCAGGCTGATTGTTACTAAGCAGAATTCTTTGCTTTTTATTCTATTTTATATTCTAGATTAAATTCTACATAAAATATCTCTTTATAAGTGTCTGTTTTTTTAAATTGTTTAGAAGAGGTATAAGATTTATTTTTGTCACTTCTCTTATGAATGAGCTGTTTTAAACCATCAATGGACTGAGATCACAGTAAAGTCAGAATCAAGAATAAGTCAAGCTCCATCTTTTTCGGTCCTATTTTATGATATCCCTGGCTTAAAAAATATTCTTCTTTCTTATCCTGGAGATCATTAAGAAAGAGAAAGATGGCAGAATGCAGAATAACAAAGTTGAAAAGAACCTTGGAAGCCTTTTAGTCCAACCTCCCGCTCTGGCATGAGACTCTGTACCATTCTGGGAAAATGGCTGTCCAATTTCTTCTTAAAACCCCACAGTAATGGAGCACCCAGAACTTCCAGAGGCAAGTCATTCCACTGATTAATTCTTCTCACTGTCTACCTCTACATGTCATTTGTGGGAGGTTCTTGAAATTAAAACAAGATTTATGTAGTCCTGATAAATCAGATATAATCCAGGGGTGGGATTCAAAAAATTTAACAACCGGTTCTGTGGGCATGGCTTAGGCGGTGGCCGTGGCTTAGGTGGTCATGTGACTGGTGGACATGGCTTGGCGGTCATGTTATTGGCTGGGCATGGCCAACTCAACATCACTCACATCGAGGCACGCATCTCCTCACCTGGTCTTTCATGACTGTGGGGATGCTGCAACAGTCGAAGCGGGAAAAATGGTCATAAGTCACTTTTTTCAGTGCCATTGTAACTTTGAATGGTCACTCCACACAAGCAAAGTACCAGCAAAGGAGGGGAAAAAAAACTCCAGAGACGTTCTTGAGACAGGAAGTCTAGTCCTGCCAAGAATGTAATAAGAGTTAATAGAGAGGCAGTTTCTGTAAGCAACACCGGAATGTTTCCTTCCTGCCTTCCTTACAGGATTAGGCCAGTAATTTCTTCTAACAACCAGTTCTCTGAACTGCTTAGAATGTTAACAATCGGTTCTAGCAAATAGGTGTGAACTGGTAGAATCCTACCCCTGAATATAACCTATGGTATTATATAGCTGTTTCTATATTTCAAAGAGCACTAACTCTAGCATATATATGATAATGCTCTCACCATGATAGTTCAGGAGAGCAGGTACAAAAATGCCCCATATGAGCTGAGATTGTGCCCCTGTGCACAAGGGGCCACTGAATCTTTAGCATATGTCCTCCTTATACTGTAACCTCTGTAAAGATTCGTGGACTTACAACTTTGCAATATCCAGGAAATTCTGATCTTTTTGGTCTGCAGTTGTTACTATTGAATCAGCATGATACATTTTTATTGAATGTGGTTAAATTTTGCTATCTGTAAAATCAGGCAG